TGTATAAGTTTTTTAAAAATTAATTGAAGGATTTCAACTTTACTCGAGTTGAAATGAAATTTTATCATTATATTGATTATTATGATGCTAAAAATTTGTAATAAGTTGAAAATAATAAAAATTTATTGTAAGAAAAGCAACAATGTCAGAGTGACAAGACAATTAGACAGGACGCAGGAACACAGAGGTTCGTCGGTAACAAAGAAAGGGTCGCCTCGTAAACAGCCATATTGGATTCGAATGTAGCTAAGCCACGCACCTCATTCAATAAAAGCTGTTATGTTCGGTGAATACTACAGCACAGTACACACTACACCCTGCACCAATGCATGCTTCAATGATACAAAACCATAATTTTCAAAACAATTTATCACCCCATATTAACATTGTAACGTGTATATACGCTTATCACTTTATATGTTATTTTAAAATACCATTTAACTATCATTAATCAATACATATTAGTTATAATTTTTGGTGTATCCTAAAGCTAGTTACAAATTTACTTATTATTGATTTAATTAGTATCACAAATTACTGGATAAAAAGATCCTACAAAAATATTGTATACACAAAATTTAATTTGAATTGTAACAAAGATGAAATACTTATAAACTTTTCCTAATTTTAGATTTTAAAAACAAGTTTAAATATTTAAAACTAGTATTTTCCAATTAAAGAAAACATGGTAAATATATAAAAGTATTATAAATATATTCAAAAAGTATTATTACTTGATTAAAGGACAAAAAGTATTTTTGTTTTTCTAGAAAAATAGTATTTAACTTTTTAAGCTCTACTTTATTTTAAAATAAATATTTTAGACTTTATTTTTATCTCAATTAATCCTTAAGCTTCATCTATCCTTGAGCATTATTGATTTTGCAATAAGCACATCAAATTTAATATTTATTTCAATTGATCCATAATTTTTCACCTTTTCTAAATACCCCAATCTATAAATTAAATTAAAAATAGCTCGTCCATGTTTTTACCTTTTTTTTTTAATCTTCAAACTCAATTGTTCATACATTTTTTTATATTTTAATTTGATTTTATTTTTTGAAACATCATAACATAATAAAAAAAATTAAGATTTTTATTAACCATCTAAGAATTTAAACATTTATAATTTTTTTAAATGTGCATATTATTGTATTAAAATTATAAAAATAATAAATATTTTTTAATTTACTATGAACGTATATTATATAATTAAAGGTTTATATTTCTTTATTTTTATTTTTCTCAAAATTATTGCTAATAATGATAATCCATATATACTAATTTTTATTTTTTTACTGTTCCTATTTTAAAATATCGTAAAATATGATTTTAAAAAATCGGTAATTTAGCTTTATTTTAATTTATACAAAAAGCTATTTATCAAATTTGTAATGTTAAAGTTTAATTAAAAATTTTGATTTAATTTAGCCCTAAACCCTAAACAAAAATTATTAATTTTTATCAAAATTAAAGTCTCAATTGAAATGAAATTAAAGCTTACGACATCTATTTATATAATTAATAAAACAATAGAATCAACTGAATTAAAATTAAAAGTTAAAGTGTCTAATTGAAAAAAATAAATTAAATTAAAATAGCTTATTTACAAATAAGATAGAGTTAGGGGATTGAAAATTTCCTTTAGTCTACATGTTGGTTTACGAAATTATAAATAAGAAAGTTAACAAGACAGCAAGGCTAAACTCGTTGAATCTCCTGCAAGATTTGTATATCTAAATTATTAAGATTATATATTTCCTTTTTAACACATTTTTCTTCATTATTAGATAAAAAAATTATTTTAAGATGTCTGTGTATTTTCATTTAATATTTATTATGAAAAATAATAGAAAAACTAGGAAGGTATATATATATATATAAAGAATTGGAAGAGTTTTTAACGTGCCAGAAAAATGAGCAATTAAATATTTGTCTCAACTGAATGATTGACAAGTTATTGATGTCACACTCACACATATGTCCTAATGGTATAAAAAGAATCAACATGAGACTCTAGTATTTGTGTGACATTTATTGTTTAATATAGTTTTAATGCTAAATAATTCGACTAAATGCGGATTTTCATAAGAAGCTTCTTGGTTACGTGATATTAAAGATAATGTTGTACTGTACTTTTTTTGTATTGTGTTATTTATACAGTTTTACAATAGTTTGTTGGTAGTATATATTTATTTAAAAATTTACATAAAGTATTATTAAACATGTGTGAATTTTAATATGTAAAAAAAAAAAAAAGTGTAATTATATAATATATGGTAATATAGATAATTTACCTTTAGTAAAATAATTTTATTTTTTATAATAATATATTAAATGTTAGTAAAACATTTGAAACAAGTCTTTTAAAAAGTTTAATTATAAATGTACGCAAGTAAGTTAGAATAACTTTATATGATAAAATATTTGACGCTTCACAAAAAAAATTAACATGACCCATTGGACAAAAAACAATATTGCATGCGGCGATGTCAATATCTTGCATATTGCAACTTTTTTTTATATGAAAAAATAAAAAATAATTAAAATACGGTATTTTGAAAATTTATAAAAATATAATATTTTTTAAAAGAAAAACCACAAGTAGAAAAATCAGTAATAGTTTTTATATTTTTAAAATTGCTATTGACAATTTTTAATTATTTTAAATTTTATATTTAAAAATTATTATTAACAAGTTTTAACCTTTTATAATTTTTAAAATATTTTGTTGTTGTTTTATTGCTATTTATACTATAAAATTTTTAAACATCGTATTTTTATGATTTAAAAAAAAATCACATTTTAGAATATATAATTTTAAAATTTTATATATAAAAAGTAAATCGCATATTGTAATGTAAATGAAGATATCCTATGCAAGACAAACTCTCTTACCTATTTTCTTCCATAGTTTGCAACTGCTACTGCTTCGTGATGATAACCAAGTTCAGAGGTGACAAAAATTATACTTAATATCAAATATTTTTTTTAACAAACAAAAGTCCATTTAATTTTAAAGTTAAATAGTTTCAGTTTCTCATCAATGTTCTCTTACCTAACATTCACAAAATTTATATTTTACTCAAACTTTTTAAAAAATCAAATCGATTAAAGTTTCTTTTCCTAAAAACCGCAAACCAAACTCCAAATTACGCACACACACACACACACAAAGATTCTCTTAAATCTAATTTTATATCTTTCAAAATTTACCATGTTTTACCGAATTTATTAATTATAAAATTATTTTATATTCTATTGTCATTTTAAATACTCAAATACAATAAAAATAAAAAATATTAATAATTTGAATCAGACAAAATTTAATAAAATGGACTAAATTTGTTAAAATTAAAAATTAGAAAAGCTTATTTATATTGTTCTTAGAATAAGAGAGCTAAATTACATGCAATTTAAATTAGAGAAATAAACAAATAAGTTTTATAATTTTTAAAAATATAAAAATTTTAAATGATAACAATACTTTAGTGTGTTCAGAAATTTAAGTTCATCAGACTTACAGAAAAGAAAAAAAAAACTCTAAGATAACTTTAAACTCAAAAAATAGAATGGAGTAAAAAATAGGTAAATTTAAAATATAAAAACTTAGAACAATTTTTTCGTAAATTTTTCTCGAAGCGAATATAATATTTGTTTACGCCTCGGATATAAACTTGAACAGTAAGTTGGTTGGATAGAACTTGTAAAGCATATTTTCTTTTCTTGAAAAAGTTAAAGCTTGTAAGATTTTTAAAATGATTATATAAAAAAATTATTAACTAATATAAAATTTAAAATTTGATATTTAATATTAATATATCTTTACTTATAATTATTTTATTACAATATATTCTTAAATATTGAATATTTAATTTTAAAATCACGTAAGAATATCCTGACAAAACTGGGGACATTGGCCCTAACATAAAATATTTGGTTCACACATCTTTGAAATTTAAAAATAAGTTATTTGTGATAGTTGATGTTGATAAGCATGGGAGAATGAGCGTACCATGTGTCCGTTTGCATGGCCTTGTGGAGTCTTAAAGTCTTAGTGCAGATTGATTCTTTGGCAATTACATGGAAGAAACCATTGTGTACCTCCTATTATACTTTTTTGACTAACAAATTAACATAAAATAATATTCTGCGTTTTATTCTTCAACACCATTGCCTTTTTTAGTTACTTATGAATAAAATTCTTAAAATTATTCTTTTCGTGAACTGTCCACTTTACCTTTTTGATAAATGTGGTGAAGAAAGAGTAAATATTCGTTTGATTTGTAGTATACCATTAATTCTTATACTTTTAATGAAAAATACATGATATTAAATTTTATGAAAAAAGAAAATAACTACAACAGTACGATTAAAAGGAAAGGGAGACAATTGGCGGCAACATACAGCAAACGTATGTTTGAAAGCTTAGAAACTTCTTTTCTTGCTGAAAGAGAAATTGTAAGAAAATAAAAATAAAAAATAAAAAGAGAGACAAGAAAGCAAAACTGAGAATCCAACAAACAGCGCTCCTCCACCGGTGGGGTAGAGCAGTGACCACACCCAAATTCGAAACCCACAAAAGTAAAAAAAAAAAAGAAGAAAGAACCACATGATTCCTCCAATGTCGGTGGGTCCGCACCCACGGACTTCACTGGACATTCAAATATAGTTAATCTGCCATAAATGAAACAAAAAAATATCCTCTCTCCCTCCTTCGCAATAATGACCAACGGATCCCACACGCAAAATTAAGAAAACTTTTATTTTAATATTGTCAATGTCAATTATTATTGTTATTTTATTATTTATGCAAGTACGGGAAATAAATATATATAAAAAGAAAAACAGAGCAGAATGCGGCTTTTTCTGCTACGCACGCGCCTGTCTCTATCTGCCGTTAATGAATTAAAGTGAAGTAACCCTATCTATCCCTCTTTTCCCACCACTATATATACCCTCAACCCTTTATTTCTCCCTCCACCCTTACGTTTTCATTTTCTCTCTCTACACTCTCTCGTACTCCCCTCACTGTCACCCCGGCGATGGACGAATGCCACACGAGGAAGCGAGTTCGCCCTGACTCGGACTGTCGCTCGCCCGACTCCTCCAAGCATCCCCGAGTCCGCGCCGATTCCGATGTTAACTCCTCCGACTCTCAGCTCTCCCCGGTTAACTCGTCCGAGTCAAGTGACGGGTTTCATCTCGGGCGAGTTGAACCCGTCCTTGACTCGTCCGGGGTTAACGAGATTCAAGATGATCTCTTTAGCATGCTCAATGATGCGGAGAATGTGACCGACCGTGACCCCATCATGCCCGTGCAGGGCCTTGACTCTGTCATTAAAAGCTTCGAAGAAGAAATACTCGCCCCGGGTTCGGATCCGAACCCGAACCTTACACCCGAGTTTAATCCAAACCTAGGGTATCTATTGGAAGCCTCCGACGATGAACTAGGGTTGCCGCCGACGATTACGCCGACCGAGGAGACAGGAAAAGAGGATTCGTGTCGGGTCGGACCGGAAGGGGTGGATCTAACCGGGTTTCTGGGGTTTGAGGATGATATTGGGAGCTACGAAGGGTTTGGATTGGTGGGGTGCGATGGTGAGGATAACGGTGGGGGTTATGTAACGATAGATGGGTTGTTCGATTATGCGGAAGCTCCCGCCGATATTTTGTGGCGATCGGAGTCGTTACAAGCTATGTAGAAGTGGTGGCGGAGCGTGTGGCATATTGGCACGTGTAAATCTGTCTAGATTTTAGGCACAGAAGATAACGTAGGTGGTAGATGTGAAAAATCTAGAAATATAAATTTGTTGTTTGAGTTTGTTTATTCAACTGAAACGAACAAATAGGGCCCTGACTTGAGAAGTGTTCTTTAATCTTTATATTAAAAAATGTTTAAAAATGTGAATCTAGACATGGTTAAAAAAATTATTGTCCTTGGCGATAAAGAAGAAGAATGCATGAATGTGATCCCAGTGCTGAACGCAGATTCAATGTGTTTTGTTACTATCGTTGTCTTCGGTTTTACTGGCCGGCTCCGATTCAGCTTCTTCAGGAAATTTAATAACTAAATATATGTATTTTTTAAAACCCTTTCAATTCTGTATGATATAAAATTTGTTGCAAAAATTAACACACAAACTTTCCATAAATCAAGTATGACATCTTAAGTTTACCATTTGGTTTGAGTTGTATTTTATTATTATATTATATATTTTACTGATTTAGTTTTCAAAATGATGTTTACAAATTTAAATGTAATAATTGTTAATTTAAAAAGTATGGTTGTTTTAAATTATAATAAGTAATCCAAACTCATTTCAAAGAGAATGAGATGCAAACTCAAGTTTAAAGTATTGCATAAATTTATCGCGTAAAATAAGAGAAAGAGAAAAAATTCTTTGATGAGAAAAAGTTAAGTTGATTAAAGTTTGTTGAAAAAAATTATAAAAAGCTAATTTTAAGTTTTAAATTTTATGATAAACTGTTTTTTTAATTTGAAATTTTTACGAAATTTTTTTCTTTCACCAAATCATTTGTAGTTTGGGAGAAATAAAACTTGAGTCAATATAGATTTTATTTCTTTTCATTTTCTAAAATTATTTGAAGTATTTATAAAAAAGATATAAAAATTATGATTCTAAAACTAAAAATGTTAATTATTTTTATGTATTGATTATATATATATAATAAATATTTTTTAATGAGAAATAAAATATTTAAATACTTAAAATTAATCTTAAGAATTAAAGAAAATAATAAATAGTTTTAATGCTGTTGACTAATTAAATTAAAAGAATTTTACTTCAATAATTTATACAATAAAAACCAACATAAAAAGTTAACAGATATTATCAAAGTAAATTTTGAATTATAAAATCACACGACAAAATATCTAGGATACTAAACCTAAAATCTGTCGACTGCTAAAACACTTCTGTAAGTTCCATTCGCGGCTGAAAAATGAAAGGAAATTTTATCTCCGTTCTATATGACGTGTATCATTTAGTGTAGGCAATTAATTATGTTAAATTTTATAAGCAATAAAACACAATTGTATTCATTGGAGAGGAGATTTTATTTTCTAACATATATCGTAATCATATGATCATTAAATGAATTTGGTGTTTTTTAATTTATTTTTTAAAATTTTAGTTCTATAACATTAAGATATATTTTATCAAATTTTTATAATTTTTAAAAAGTTTGTTTTTAATATTTATTAGGACGCGGTTGATTAATAAATTTTAAATTAAAAAAATTTAATTAGGGGATCTAAAATTAAAAAATTCAATTGAACAAATCAATATTTAAACTAAGAAATAATTATAACTTGTTTTAAAAGTAGTTTGTCCAGTATTTTCTTTCAAACATAAAAGAATAAAAATGTATTTACCATTTAAAAAAATAAAATTATTTAATTGTCTGTCTTGATTATGGGGTATGATTCGGGGTGCGAAACCAGGGAACGACTGTTGAACTTAATATTATGTCATTGTCAGGTCTCCGTCTTCAAGAAAATAAACTCAAGAGGGAGTTCAAGTACTAATTTTGATGCTATGGTTAAGCAACTTTTAATTTAAGCAGTTTGATGGCAAGGTTAAGCAACACACCATTCAACCGATTTTATGGTAAACTTCCGCTTTGAGTTAGGCTTTATGTAAACCTCATTTACCAAATTAAGTCGTGAGATTATGAGGTGATCTTCATATACAAAAGTGGTTTATTTAGTTAAATAACTTATTTTTAAATTAATCACTTTATCTGTTTTTTAACAATATTAACTCAGCTCTTATTTTTATTCAAAAACATTTAAAATATATCAGCCTAGTTTTAATGTTTGGATAACAGAGCTGCTAATGGATCCACTAATGGGTTATGCTTTCTTACTAAAAACTCTTTTGCGACAACAAAATTAAAACTCCTTGTATACAACTCTTAAGTTTAGTTTTTGTTTTCCACAATTTTCTTTATGTCATTACATTCTCCACTCACTTCGGAGAAGAGGGCTAGTTGTAATGTTTCAGGCCCCCTCCCCTCATCCCACGAGATAAGTCGTTTTCATACTATGCATACTTACATTCATAGATTTTGATAGCACTCTACTGGATATAAAGTAAGGAATACAAATAGTTTTATCTAGCTCAATTTTAATATACTCTAAATTTTAAAAAGATTTATATCATCAATCAATTAAAATACATGTTAAGTATGGCTTTTAAATTAATTATTACAAAAATCAATAATTTCTGCTGATGTAATAATTTATGGTTTAAAAAAACTATGAACAAAACTTTAATTTTATTAGTACATTTCAATTAAGTTATAATTTATTCATATAAAAATTTCAGGTGGAAAAATTCATTCTCAAAAAAATGATGCAAGGTCTATCCACATTCACTTCAACCTTTTTCATTTAAAAAATTCTTTTATCTTTTACAAAGTTGGGAGTTGGGAATCTCATATAAGTGGGCCGTATAGTAATGGCACAGTCCCTCAAGATACTACTAAGCCCGGAAGTGGAGGCCATTTTCCTTGATGCTAGCCGCACTTGTTGAGTTGTTTATAGTATTGTTTTGTTATACAAATTTTCAATTTAGAACCAAAATACTATGGATTTGGTTTTGCTAAATCAGAAATATTCTGTAATTTTTTTTCTTCTTCATAGTCTAAATTAGTTAAAGCCTGGTCAATAAGCATGAAAATTAATAATGAGAATCCATAGATGATCAAATTCATGAGTGTAACGGGAAGAGGTGCTTTTTCCATAAAGAAAGTATGCTCTTTGTACGTGGCATATGCATAAAGTGGAATAAGAGGCCAAGAATAATGTGAGCCCTGCATATCTCATTACAAGTAGAATCTAATTCTTCAAATAAAAGGAGAATCATTGTATAAAAGGGCCACATTACGCATCTCACTATAAACCTTTTTTGATTCTCAAAGTTACATTGTTGCTTTTCAAAACCCACTTTTCGTTCCTCATTCATACTATATTGGATTCTGAAATAATCTCTATTTGTGTTTCTGTCGTTGTCTCTCTCCTCTTTGATTAATTTCATGACAGTGAAGGTAAGCTCTAGTGACCGGTCATCATCTTCTTTTTCTGTCAAGTTCTACAGTTATTGATTATCACATTTTTTTGGCAATGCTTCTGCATTGTGATGAGGATCAATATAACTTCAATGGTTGTTAGAGAAAAGTAAAGAGAGAAATCTTGATATGCCAGGTAAGACTTCATTCCTCATCCATTCCAAGCAAGCGCTTAGATTAATAAATGGTTTAAATTTTTGATCAATTGTTTTAGCTTCACTCAATCTGTGTCTCTTTCTCTTTCCCTCATTGTTGACTATTTATTAGTATTTTCTTTATTTCTTTTATTCTACTAGAGCTGGATAACCATTCCACAGGATGTTGCAATTAAGATAAACAAAGAAAACAAACCGCAGGGTTGAGATATTGGATAGACAAAGACTTAAGTGATAACAATTTTATGAAACCAGCAGTGACAAAGGATTTTGGAACATTTGCTACTCATACTCTTGTTTTGTTACATGTACAAGTTTGGAATTTTAGTAGAGATTTTTCTAGTTTTGATCTTTTAGTCACCATGTGTGCTTCTTGTCGTGTACACGCTTTGGTTTGGGAGCGTTTGCATTGTGGTTCAAGTGCAATTGTCAACTGTGGAATTACGTAAACAAACAGGAATTTGAAGTTTAAGAGATCTAACTTGGTAGAACAATCGTTCAAGAACACCTTAGATTACTCGAGAATACGATTTGGCGGACATGCTAGACAAAAAATGACAAACCAATATCAAAATTATCCCAAAATTTTCCTCCAGAATCTTGTTTCATTTTCTGATACATTGTCGGGTTGAATTGTTTTAGGCTTCTTTTAGCCGAATACTCTCTTTGTTGTCTTCTGTTTTTCTAATTAATTAATCTTTTATTCTACTCGCCTTTAACTAAACAATTTGATGTTAATAATTGTCAGCTGCTAATACACGCAAACCCGAACAGGAATTATAAGATATCAGACTTTGTAGACCAAATGTTTAAGAAGTCCTTAGGTTACTCGAGAATAAGATTTAGCATACAAAGTATCTAGACAATATGGCTAACCAATATTCAAAATTGTTCGAGAATTTTCTCCCATAATCACGCTTTACTTTAAAAAAATACATTAGAATGTCGTGTTCATGATTTGAGTGTGTTTTATTATACTGAAAATACAAAAAAATAAATTTAGCTCTTAAATTAATAATTTTCACTTGTACTCCTACAATTTTTAATAATTTTAATCAATAAAATATATTAAAAAAATGTATTCTAAGCATTCCTCTTGAAATTAATAATTGAATGGTAGTTCTAGTTGGCACGAATCCCTGGTTTTAATTTCAGCTAGGGGGAAGAAGATTGTAAAATATGGGGGGATAATCTCACATGACCAAGAAAGTTGAAAAGTATTTGTTGTTAAAAAATGGAAAACATAAGCCTATGGTGTACACGTTCAAATACATTAGCATTCAATCCCTCCCCCTCCTTCTTTAGTCTCTTCTTTATCATTGTACGATAAGTTAAGATATAGGGAAATCCCTTACAATATTTGGATAAGTTCATAGATACATAGCACGTAGCAGCAAATTATATACATAAAAAATATAGACAAAGCTGATAGGCACGTTGCAAGGGTTGAAAAGATAAGAAGGGAAATTGCAGACCCATTATTATAAGTGGAGGGTCTCGACAGCTCATTACAGGTTTGAAGCTTTGAGCTCCGAGTATCAATGATCCTCTTTTTAGTACAGAAATGGCATCAATAATCCTTTGAATGTGTGAGGAAGTCAGTGCCGTGACCTAAACTTTAGGTCCACCACGAATCACACATCATAAGCCATTGAACTGAAAATATACAAGACACATTCTAGTCTTATTATTACTTAATTTTTACGCTTATATTTAAAACATTCGTACGCTGCAGAGAATTAATGCTTGTAAATTAGTAAATATTCATGCACACTTTTAAATTTAAAATATAAAATAGAAAGTTTAAGATTATATATATATATATGTCGTTTGGATAAATAAGTATAAAAATATAACTTAAAAAATATTTTTTTAAGTTGTCAGTATACGTATGCAACCAAGATAAAAAAAAAAACGAAAAAAAATACAGATGTTGCCTATTCTCACGAATGTACGTGATAATTTATCTCATATTTTAGATAAGTGCCGTTCATCTTAATTTTTAAAATTAAAAGTTAGAATAATTGACGCTTGATAAGACTAAAATAATCGATTTTTGTTAACTACAAAAAACTATGTTAATTGGTACTTTGAATTTTAAGAATTAATTTAATATATCATTAAATATATTTCTCCCCCTTTATTTTAAATTATTAATTGTTTAAGGCAACGAATACACTTTAGAGGGTTTTTAATCATACAAATTAATACGAGAAAATGACTTTTTTTACTATTCAAATTTAATATTCTTTCTCATCCATTTTATAAGTAATAAATATTCCTGCTTTTTTTTTACATATAAAAACTAAAAAACATTTTAAAATGTAATTATTATTAAATTGTTATATTAATAAAATATTCACTTATCATTTCTATAATTAACATATTTATTTATTTAATAATATAATATAAATTAATGACATAATTGTAAGGAATTATACTTAGTTAAACTGAACTCTAAAAATATAATTAATTTGACCGAAACAGGAGGAGACACCTTGACTGAATAGTTACATTACACTTATCCTCTTAAAGAAGAAAAAGCAAATTGTTAATGGGAATCGTGTGTCTTGTTGTGACGTGGCCCATGCTAAAAGACCAAGACGTAAGGACAGAGGATCCGATTCTCTTTACCATGACGTCATCTCTTCTATCTTGTATCTTTCAATTAAAAGAAATATCAGTGACACTTTTATTTTTAAAAATTTAATAATTAAAATGTTTTAAAAGAAAAGTACCTTGAGGAGTGTCAACACAAACCCATGATAAGATGAAGATAGCATAGCAAAAGCTTTTTGTGCGGACGCAAATAATGCATTCTCAACACTCTTCACATGTTAACTTAACCGTCAACTCCAACTGTTAGCATTGATAGTATCAATTACCTTGCATAGTTCAAATCCAAGCATCCAAATGGTTCCCAAGTTGGTGAAATCGGGCTCCTTTCGTCACGGTTTTGCGGAGAAGAAGGAGAAGCTTCTCTCTATGAAGGGTGCTGGTTATTCCCAGATTGGGCTTCCCATGCAGGATGAGGAGGAGCAATCATGGATCGTCAAGTCGTTCAAGACGGTGCAGCGTGTTGTTGCCAAGGCTTGGGAAATGGGTCGCTCTGATCCTAGGAAGATTATCTTCGCCGCTAAAATGGGTCTTGCTTTGACCCTTATTTCGCTTTTGATTTTCCTCAAAGAACCCTTAGGGGATATGAGTCGTTACTCCGTTTGGGCTATTCTAACTGTCGTCGTTGTCTTTGAATTCAGTATAGGTAAGTGCTATTAGCATATATAATAAAGGTTTTTTTTTATTTTTATATAATATATATTTACTCTTTTCTCTGCTAGTATTTTCTAGCAGCAACCAATTTGTTTTTATTTATTTATTTTTCTTTTCTTTCGGAGATGTTCGGAATTGGCGGGGCACTTGTATTCAACATTCACTCACTCCTTTTGTTTTAATTAGAGGTAGATGCAATATAGAATTATATTGAGTCATTGTCTAATTGACCCCTAAGATTTTTAAATAATGGATGAAATCATGATTAGGATTTGTAAGAAAAGGATCGTTTTAGAAATTTAATATATGACTGTTTTGTTATGAGTCTTTTAGATAAGAGCTCAAGCTTTTGAATTATTTAGTCGGATGATTGAGATTCGCTTCATTTCAAATTTTTCTCTCCCCATATGCATGATGGGTGGGTTAGTGCTAAAAGACCATCCGAAGTAATCAGAATCTAAAGGAAATTGATTTTTGCTCCTGTCGTGTTTGATTGAATAGGATCGTCTGCAGTTTTAATAAACTGCAGGAACAATGGTTCATGCAATCAAACATATACATTTATGCAATTATATATAAATAAATAATTTTTTAATGGTGGAATTGTTATAGGTGAAATTGATCCTCCTGTATTTATATGGAATGAATAGTGTTGTGCAGCTTTATTTTAATGAATAATAATAAGTACGATAGTTTAATGCAGGCATGGTTATAGGGACACTGAGAAACAACTAATTAAAGATTTTGATCAAGGGGGCCATTGTTGACGTTTTAATTCTCTTACTTTGTGCTTAGATTCAATAGCCTGGTTACTTTCATCATATATCCATTATCCATCGCTTCATCATAAATCATTTTCTTGTGGGGAATCCAGCTTTCGTCCCTTCATCATAAAATCCTATTCTATTTATCACTTAAATTTATGTGAAATTATAATCAAACACAATGCACTAACTGCAGGAGCAACTCTGAACAGGGGGTTTAACAGAGGATTGGGGACATTATCGGCTGGAGGACTTGCTCTTGGGATGGCAGAGTTATCAGCATTGGCTGGAGAATGGGAGGAACTAGTAATTATCATCAGCATCTTCATTGTAGGTCTGGTTTCACAATCACTTCTATACTCGTTTATGAAATTTTATTACAGTTTTATTAACTAGTGCCCTTAAGGCTATAGTTAAGAAAATGAAAAATGTAACATTCAACCATACAAAACCAAATTTAATTTATTATATTCACACTTGTGTTTCTGACGTGTGGTTTTCTGACAAACTCTGTGATTGATAGGATTTTGTGCCACTTATGCAAAACTATACCCAACTTTGAAGTCTTATGAGTATGGGTTCCGTGTGTTCTTGATCACGTATTGCTTCGTTATGGTATCTGGATATCGAACAGGGGACTTTGTGGTTACAGCTATAAATAGATTTTTTCTCATTGCAATTGGTGCTGCTGTATCTTTGGGAGTAAATATCTGCATATACCCAATCTGGGCTGGTGAGGATCTGCATGACCTTGTGACAAAGAATTTCATGGGTGTTGCAACATCTTTGGAAGGTATTGTACAACATTTTCTTCATGATCACATTTAATATGCAGTTACCATATAGGTTACAGCTTCTCAAACTTGTTTCCTTGGTTGATTAATTTTGTTGAGCTTCTTTTTTCCAGGTGTTGTAAATCACTACCTAAATTGTGTTGAATATAAGAAGGTCCCATCTAAAATTCTTACTTACCAAGCTGCTGATGACCCAGTTTACAATGGCTATAGATCGGTGGTTGAATCTACAAGTAAAGAGGATTCATTGGTACTGTCTACTTTACTTTTCTGTCTGTTTCATGAATATATATTTATCGTCATTTTGACTCATTGTCACGTGCTAGTGATTGAAGATGGGATTTGCTGTTTGGGAACCCCCACATGGACATTACAAAATGCTTAAATATCCCTGGAAGAATTATGTGAAGTTAAGTGGGGCCCTAAGGCATTGTGCATTTATGGTCATGGCTATGCATGGATGCATACTTTCTGAAATACAGGTACTTCTAATCAGTGAACTTTTCTGCAATGGATATTAGCACTTAGAAGAAAACCCCTGAAACTTTACTTCTGTTTTTCATTATGATGAGTATTGATTAGTCTTCTGTTTTTCATTGTCAGATATTTTTGCATGTCACCCAGTGGGCGGTTTTTATTTCTTAGTTATAATTCGTACATATTGAGCACTAAACTTTTATTTTGATACATAGGCCCCAGCGGAGAAGAGACAAGTTTTCTGTAGTGAGCTTCAGAGGGTAGGTTCCGAAGGGGCAAGAGTGTTGCGTGAACTTGGAAACAAAGTTAAAAAGATGGAGAAGCTAGGCCGGGGAGACTTGTTGTATGAAGTGCACGAAGCAGCAGAAGAATTGCAACAGAAAATTGATAAAAAATCGTACCTTCTTGTGAATTCAGAGAGCTGGGAAATTGGAAACCGGCCGAGAGAAGATAGTGAGCCTCAACAAGGCCTCTTTAACATGGATGAAGAAAGAAAATTTCTTGAGTACAAGTCTCTCAGTGAAGCAGTACTTGATCTCAGAACAGTTGAAGTTCCAAAAGGTTGGGATGGGAATTTAACTTTAGGTGATAAGCCTGCTGTGCCTGACTCTGAAAACATGTTTAGGAAACAGATATCTTGGCCTGCTCATATTTACTATAAATCAAGTGCAGTGACAAAAGAGGATCCAGAATCAAAAACTTATGAAAGTGCTAGTGCACTATCTCTGACAACATTTACATCACTTCTGATTGAGTTTGTTGCAAGGCTTCAAAACCTAGTGGATTCATTTGAAGAACTAGGTGAAAAGGCAAACTTTGCAGACCCACTTGAGCAACAAGCACCAGTAACATCGTCTGGGTTTTGGGCCAGGTTGTTTAACTGCTTAAAATTCAAGGATTGAAATATGGACTTGCTCATTTCAAGCATTATCTTGCAGAGGCAGAGCTTCTAAATGAGAATCAGCATTACTAATTCTGAATCACTTTGCAACCCCTCCTTTTTTGATAGGTTGTAATGCCACCATTTTGGTATTTGAAGATCGGTGAGTTGAAATGTTTATGAAGACTCGAGAACAATCTCTAGATCTAGAGCGAATAACCCACTTCTATACATTTACAGAAATCTCCTATAGTATCAAATGATTAGCATAATTTTCCTTTAGATTAAATGTTAAATTTATCTATCCTCGGTCAACTTAAAATTGGTTCAGTCATTTTTATTTAAATTATGAATGCACTTTTGCCTAGTCAGAACAATGCATACGGAAAGTAAAAATCACCAAGTTTAGTAAAGAATATTAAACTTGCTTAAAAAAGTCAGAGATCCAGCATACATGCTACGATAGTACATGTTAGAAAACTGGAAACTTCATCATTTTGCTAGCCCTTGTTTTAAGTAAATTTTAAAATATGAATTTGACATAAGAGTTCTCAAAACTTTCGACGTCAACCTTAGATTATATCTTTTTAAAAAATTAAATTATATGTTTTTTTTAAGTTTGGATCACATTTTTTTAGATTCTATTCTATATAAAATGTTGCACTTTTTTTAGTAAATTCATACTTGATACTTACCATTTGACCTATCTTTTTCTGTCTTTGTACATTAAAATTTTAAGTCCTTTATTTTGAGTTTTTTTTTTCTCATCAGAGAGTTATGCTTTCGTTAAAGTATTTTGACTCCAAAGATTTTTTTAATTATTTATAAGTATGAATGTTTGTATTTAGTTACATTTGTTTTCATCTGTATAATTACATATAATTAAATATTTCTTATCATAGAGTTACTGAATTTACCTAAGACAACTAAATACAAAACATTCATATGCTCCTATCTGATAACCGTTCAAATTTTCTGAATTGAATTTTTTGAACTGCTTTCATATGCTAATTATGTGTGTAGCGTTTAGTTGCTTATTATATCAGTTGTTTCTTCTATTGGTGGAGCAGAAAATATTTTGGTTTTTTATTGAACTTTGGCTTGCTCCGTTGGTTTGTTTGATTAGAGCTCTGCCTTTTGAATCTTCTGGGATGTTATGTCTGCCCCATAGCAATGCGTTTGGATGCCATTCAATGCATCCTTCCAGTTCACCCTTGTAAGCTCTATCTTTTAATATTTTGCTGACCATTATAGGATGAAATATTTTTTGTTTTATCTTAAACTTCATATGCAAAAGGGTGGATTGTCATTTTCTTATACCTAACTAGTGAATCAGCATTATTTATTTTGTGATGCAATATTTTGTTTTTTGTTTCTTCTATCTTTTTCCCATATTCTCTTCGAGATTTTCCATGGTTGTTGTCAGTGATGATTTCTTTAAGGCTTTTTTCTCAAAATATTTGATGTGGCTGCCTTGGAGCTTTTACCTTCACTAGGCTTGAGAACTAATGTTTCCTTGGATGTTTGAGACGTGATTTTTTTTATATGTCCAATTTTTTTTATGGCTGTTTTTCATATTTGGGAAAATTGTTTGTATTTTGTTTGAGTAATGACTTCATCAGATTTCACGATTTTCATATATCACTTCAGATGTATTATCTCAAAATTTAACGACTAACAAGGTAGTTTTATGATAAAAATATTTATACAGCATGCTAATAAATGTTAATGGAACATTTATACAATAAGAAACATTTTTTATTTTAAATTTTGAGAATTATAAATTTAAATTACACAATCATGCGATCCTTAAAATAATTATATGTATTTATCTTTTTATCTTAATAACTTAATTTTGATTTAATGGTTCATATTTATTATTTTTAATTGTCATAATAAGTAAGTATTCTTATTAATAAAGGGAATTAATTTATTATATCTACTTAAGATAGTCAAATAAAGTTGTCAAAATTAAGAATGATTTGTTTAATTGGTTTAAAAAAATTCCTTTTAAATTTTTTAAAATTTTTTGAGGGAAGTTAAAATTGAGTGAGGACGAATTTTAGTCTCCTTCCTTCTCTATAACATGCTCATCCAAACCTGAAAATTTTATAAAAGTTGCTCTCCGCTCTTCCTTTCTCTTTTATTTTCTTAAACTAAATGCTTTGTAATCGATGAATTAAAAAAATTATTAGTTACAACAAAATAGAACTGGAATGTAGGTAATAAAAAATAAGAATGAAAAAGTGGTGAGAAATAATAAAAAGGTGGATAATATGGTGTAAAAATCTGTAAATGTGGATTCCTGTAAAAGAAATACTTCTCTAAATCGCAGTGAAACTCAAGATATCTCACTTTGAATGTACAAGAAGAAATATTTTTATTAAAATTATTTCTCTCTTGCTTTAAAGGGCCTCTTGAGATATATAGAATTGTCAACTAAAATATATGAAGAAAATTAAACCTTATTCCATATACATGACTAGCAATGTTTCGTTAACACTAAGTACAAACATAATTTTTCCTTCATTGGACCTAGCTATTCATTTTTAGTAGCTAAACGATAAGTTGGTATTGCCAGCAACTGCTCAGCTCTTGGCATAGAGAGCCCAAATTTCTCCTGCATATTCAAGTTGGCAGGACTAACATTAGGTGGAAGTTCCCAATTAAAGCAATGCACCAATTGAGCTAAAACCAACCTAACTATAACCAAACCCAATTGAATCCCAGGGCAACCTCTACGACCGGAACCAAATGGTATAGATCTAAAGTCTCCTTGATGATTCATTTTCGTATTGATGAATCTCTCTGGATAAAATGTTTCAGCATTATTTGACCAAACATTAGGATCCCTCCCAATTGCCCATGCATTTATTATGACACGTGATTTTTTCTTTATATAGTAACCATTTATTGTAATATTCTCTCTTGATTCCCTAGGGACAAGCAAAGGTGCAACAGGGTACAATCTTAAGGTCTCATCCACCACCATATTCAAGTAACCCAACTTCATCAAATCACACTCTTCTACCATTCTCTTAATTCCTACTTCCCTCTCTATGTCATCTTGAAGGACTTTCATCACCCTTGGATGCCTCAACAGTTCCGATAAAGCCCATTCAATCACTGTGGCTGATGTTTCAATTGCCCCCACAATCATATCTAGTAAAACAGCCTTAATGTTAGTTCTATCAATGACATGGTTTTGTTCATTGTGGGGAACCATGGTTTGGTCCATCATTGAGAGCAATATGTCTACGAAGTCTTTACGGTGCCTTTTGCCTACATCAATTGCTTGTTCATGCTCTTTTAGTATTTGCTCCAACACCTCATCTAGTCCTTTACTTGTTTTTTTGCAGTCCCGCGTTAATCCCTGGAAGAAAAAAAAAAAAGAGATAAATTATAACGTTGATTAGTCATAGAGCATTTGCATAGAACACAGTTTTGGAACTGCCAAAGAATATGAAAATGGAAAACACACGTGGAGAGTTAAATTAGTAACGTCAAGCCCCAGAGAAAGTGTTAAATTAATAACATTAATTGGTGAGTATCTTCACATGACACAAAGGAAATACGAAAGTATGGGCTAATTGAGAACACAAATGAAAAAGTAACAAATTAAGGATGTTTAAAAGCATTTGTTAAAGAATTATTAAATGGCAATTGGCAAATATATCCGGTGCCTTAAGTGTGAGAATTTAATATGATTTAGAACACTCATAATTGTAATAATTTGTGTAATTTTTAAGATTTTTTTTAAATCTCATTTTGTTAATTTGCAAATATATATGTTAGTGCCAAAACCCTTCTTTTCTGGTTCTTTGATTTAATTAAGTTCTTGATGAAAAGAGTATGCAGCATAGGGGTAAAAGTGGGAAAAGAATAGGATCATATATAACAACACTAACCTTAATTTTCACACATATGAAGTCCTAAATTACTTTTAGAACACTTATTAATTAGATTTTAACTCAATAATTATATATTCTATATATAGAGAAAATACTAACATTAAGAATACTAAACTATCCATTCAAATTCAAAAACCCTAACATTAAGAACACCGTTTAAGAAATTTAAATGTTTTTCAATTAAAATTTATTAATATACTCTCAATGTGATTTTTAAATAATTTTTACATGGTTTTTAATAGTTTTCAATTTTTTTCCATGTCTAGTATTATTTAGTTTTTTAAATACTTAAATTAAGTCCCCTACCCTAAAATTAAGACTTTTATTATATTTTATATTTTTATTTAAATATTTATATAATTTATTTATTTGTATAATTAGTAAAATATTATACTTCCATTATATTCTTATTAATTATTAAATAAAATTTTACGATATAAAATTAAATCTAAGCATTTAAAAAATTAAAAATTATGTGATAAGGAATTAAAACTAGAAAAAATAAAATCACGTGTATGTTAAGATATAAGAACTAAAAGTGCAATAAAGTCAAATCCTAATTAGTAAAATTTTATAATTGTGTTGAGAGTGTATTAAATATTAATAAATATATAATAAAATTTTATATATTTTTTTAAAATAGTGTAATAAAAATTAATAACTTTAATCCTTATAAAAATTATTAAATTAATAACAATATATATATATATATATATAATCCTTTTCAAAAAATTAAAATTTATTTTCTGTGGCCTGAAAAAAATCTATTACACGTATTCTTTAAATAAAAAAAAATTGCAAGCGCGTAATTTAAAAAATTTAAAAAAATTAACAAAATTTTTTATTGTAATTATATTAATAATTTGGACATTTTTAATGAAAAATTAATAATAATTTATATGTAAATATAAAAAACAATGAATTGGACTGATAGACGCTAGACAGAAAAATAATTTTAAAAAAATAATAAATTAAGAATTTGTTTTTAATTTTACAATAATTAAATAAAAAACTCTATCGTTTTGTTTTCATTTTGTTTTAACTTAGGCAAAGCTAAATTTGCTTAACCAAAAACAAAACTGAAGTCCAATCTCGCGTTAACGATCGGGATCGGGATCCGCATCCGAACACCCATAAAAAACTGTGGTGTTTGGCATATCTTGTCGGCAATAACAATAATTAATCAGTAATCTTTTTCTTTTCCAGTAGACAATGAAAGTAAATGAAAATTGACTAATGAAGAAAAAACGGTAAAAGAAAAATGTAGTTTGGTACCTGAAAATCAAACGCACGTAACCAAGGCACATAATCCGCTAGATTAAAAGCCCCAACCATTGCCACTCCCTGTTGAACCAAACTCTTCAAATCAAAATGATCATACTTACTGCGACCCAGTATCATCTTATAAATCATATCCTCTATAAGATTCTCCACAACCTCGCTTATGTTCACAACCTCACCCACCACTGCAGCTTTTTCCAACGACTTCACCACTGCACATAGCTCCTCCTTCCTAATTGGAGCAAAGAGTTCAACCTTCGACGCACTAAGAAGCTGCAAAGTACACATTTTCCTCATATTTCGCCAGTACGGGCCATACTCAGAAAACGCCATGCCCTTTGAACCGTACGATAAGATCTCGGAAGCTTGAAGTTTTGGCCTGCTCGCGAAAACGACGTCGTGTGTCTTCAGGAAAAGTTCGGCAGTTTGGGAAGATGAAACCACTACGGTTGGGACTAGGCCCAGTTGCAAGGACATGATAGGGCCGTACTTTTGGGCTAGGGACTGAAGGGTGCGATGTGGAAGGGTACCCAACATGTGGAGGTTCCCTATAATTGGCAGCGTTGGAGGACCTGGTGGCTTCTTTTTATCTACATTTGGTTGTTTTGGACGAAGGAAGAGTGTGTATACAAGGTATGTGAATGTTAAAAGAAGCAAAATTTGTGCTGCTGTTGCTTCTGCATAAGCCATGTTTAGGTGTTTGCTTGATACGGTGGAAGAGTCTTCACAAATTGATTGCAGATTGCCAACCTTCGGTCCATATCTATTTAAAGACCAGAGGATATTTTAGCCTTCACATGCAAGTTGCCAGTTTGGCAGATTTCATTTTTAAAATGGCCCCACTTGCCATTAGGACATCCAAATTTAACACGTACTTACTTATCATTTATGATTGTGATTTTTTTTAGTTAAAAAAAAATTTATATAAAAAAATAATATAAAAATAAATACATATTCATTATTGTTATTTTTTTTTCTTCACTGTCACACTTAGAAGACAATAGAAAAATGTACTCTCACAGATAGAATATTTAACTGCTAAATAGATATAAGTATAGGTATAAGTAAATATTCATAAATTTTAATAGAGATAGGTGCAGGTTAATTAAGTATATACCCCGTCCCATACCCACATGTATATATATATATATATATATATATATATATATATTATTAATTATGTTACATTAACCTAAAATAGAGATAATAATGGGTAGAGTATGGGCTATAGTATCCATCTCCATACCCGCATTTTAGAAAAATATTCGTATCCAGCACTATAACCACAAGAATAATAAATTTAATTTCCATACCCGTACCCTCTAGGTACCCACATATCCATACTCGCCCTTATTACTCGCGCTTGCCTAAGAAAAAAATACTTATATAATTTTACATAAATAAATAGTATAAAAATATAAAAGTTTGATACATATCTTTCGAATAAAGCTTAAACATAAATAGAAAATAAATATTTAAAGATCATAAGTATTAAGTATATTTTAATAAATTAACTTTCTAAATTAAAGCACTTAAAAATTATAAGTAAAATTTCACACATAATCTTTAATATGTCTAAAACAATCAACTCATAAACTTGAGAATCATGTACAGTTACTATCAAAAACCTAACTTATCTTATCGAGAGTTGTGTTTTTTATGAGTGTAACGTACAGAAAAATATTTAACCTATAACTTTTTATAGAATTTAAAGATTAAGCACAAAAACTTTCATATAAAGATAAGTTTTTAACAAATAAGCCTAAAATTTTATTATAATTATTATTGGTATTTTTAAATTTATTTATTCTAATTTCATATACTCTTATTTGAATAATCTTTTACTTACAATGGAACAATTAAAGATTTTAAAAAAATAAGAATATAATCCACTTTTAGTTTTTAAAAAGTTTTTGTGGATGCTTTTGTAAAATTTTAGTCAAGATACAAATTTTACTATTTATTCTGTATAATTTTACGTCTTATATTTTTTACTTAGTTTAGAGTTTTTTTATAGATATAATTATTTTATTTTTTTGAATTGGCAAATTTTCTATTTGAAATTTGAATAATATTATCTTTCAATTTATAATTCCCTGTTTTCAAAATTTTTTGATACAAAATAAAAGCCAAATTTTTTTAATATAAATATTTATTTTATTCAAATAAAAAAATGCATATTTACATATATAAAAATCTATCTAATTAAATTTATTTTATAAGATTAACATAAAAATATATTTGCCTTTCAAGTAAACCATAAAAATAATTTTTTTTATATTTTTAATAAAAAAATTATTTACTATTTTATATCATTTAACTATGTTAATACAATATAATTATTATGTGGTTGATATAAAACTTAATTATTGTCATGTATTTGTATATTTTAGCTTCTATTAATATTTCTAGACCAAAACAATGTGTAAACTTAAAAAATAAATGTTCATTTAAAAAGTTTAATTTTAATAAAGAAGTAAAATAGTTTAACTATATTTATTATTTTGATTTTATGATAATAATTAACTAATATTTTCTTTTATAGATATTTGAGAGTTACAGAACATGAATATCTTTTTTTTTATTATTTTATTCAGGTAAAAAACCCTAAAAAATTAGAAGAGTCTTATGGTTATGTGATTTCAATTTTTTAAGTCAAAATACATACTTAAAATATATAATAGTCATAACCTTCAAAGTAGAAATAATGAAGTTTCAACTCATTTTTCAACTAAGATAGCTCGTATACATTTCAATCACGTTAAAACCCTTTTGTTCAAACAAATGCCCTATTGTTTCTTCATTTTCTTCGCAACCAAATATATTATTCTTTCGTCTGTTGATGTGTGTTGTCTCATTATTATAAAATAATTTTCTCTTGTTGTAAAAAAAACATGTAATTTTTTATTTGAATAAAAAAGTAATTTTACATTTCAAAATGTTCAAACAAACAAATTTAAACAAAATTATAATAATATTACCAAATTATATTTATTAGTCTGAACATACTTTATTTTGAAGTCTGCTTTAGATGTCTCATGGAATAATTCTAAATTTACCGTTTTCTTCGGAAGCAGTAAATTTATAATAATACCTTTAATTTCAACTGAAAGTCAATAAAATTGATAATTGATAAAATAGTTTGTCAATTGATTAAATCAATCTGAGAATTGAAAGTTGCAAATAAACTTTTATAATATACATTGAGCCGAAGAATATATTACATATTTTAAAATTATTTATTGTTGTTAAACTAATTTCTTAACAAAGTAAAATAATTATTAAGGTGGTACATTTTTTCTCTTTTTAACTCTTCAGTGAACATAAATATGTCAGTGTTTTAAGATTTAAAAAATTAATCTAGTGAAATAATCTTTAATTTTTGAACTTGAATTTTTTTATTTTATTATATTATATATATAAAATTAATTATTTTTTAAAAAATAGAGTATACTACACTAGCATGAAAAAGTAGATAATGAATCATTTATTAAACGTGGGAATCACATATTTTTTTTTGTGTTTTTTAATAATTAAAAGTATGTTGTTAATATTTTTTATTAACAAATTTATAAAGACACGAATAAAAATCATTTCCCCTAGTAATTAAAAGGTAGTATTTTAAAAAATGCTGGTTAGAAGTATTAAAAAACTACCGACAATTATATTTAGCTATTCTACTAAACATAGTTAAAATGTCTTGTTAAACGCACTCATATATCAGGATAAATTATATTTATTTTTTAAAATTTTATTAACATGTGTTTAAATATGTTATTGATTTTTGTATTATTGGGAAAATGTTTTTTTTTTCACATAATTATACCTTTAGTTCTTTAATTTATTATTATTATTATTATGTTGTTCGTAACCTTCATCAAAGTGAATATACCACGTCTTTTATAGGCTTTGGATTAGATTATGCAACAACTTAATACATGGAGAGACTTGTTTTTTTTTTTAAAAAAAAAAAACCTCGTTATAAGGAATGCTTGGAAAGGTGGTAAAGGGGCTCCGAGTTGAAGGGTTGTCCTAAGAAGATTTAAAGTTTGAGAAAATCTTAAAATAATATGATCTTTGAAACTAAAAATGAGTTCGAGAGTCGTTTACATGTAAAAAAAGGTATTAACATTCTTTAAAGTCCGTTTAAAAATTGTTATTTAAAATTAATTGTGTAAATTTATTTTAATATTAAAAAATATTTATTTAACCCCTAAACATTAATTAATTTTATTTTAGAAAAAAATTATTTATTGAAATATTAACTTAGTATCTTAAAAAAAAAAAGAAAAAAATTATTTTGAAAATTATTTTGACTTTATAAGTCTGGTTCTCGCTCTTACATATCCCCACACGTGCAATGAAAAACTCAAAGTCACGTAGTTCTATATAAAAATTATGAAGTTAGTTGATTAAAATTAAATTTAGTAAGAGAAATTTTATTTTGAAATTAAAATTATTTTTATAAAATGATAATGTTTAGAATATAAGATAATGCGGTTATACATGTATCTACGAAAAATAATACAAAAGATTAAGAAAGATCACATAACTATATTGCAAATCTTTAAAAATATTTTGTTCATAAACAAAGTATTTGAATTTGAATTATTATTAATGTCGAAAGAAAAATTAATATATCATAAGTTATATATAAATCTCTTGTAATTTATTAGACCACCAAAGATAATGTAAATTACACATTGATGTTGTATAATAAGAACGAAGAAATAAAATTATGTAATTAAAGGTAGAAGTGTGACTTAAAAAAATTTAAAATATGAAATTAATTTCATTTAATGAAAGGAATAAATATATTTTAATTTGATTAAAGAAAATAGTTACTTAATAAAAGGATTACAACTCTATTTGATAAATTTATATTGCGTAAGACTTAAGGTAACGTTGGTAAAAGTCTTAACAATTTAAAGTGTATAAAGATAGAGACGCTACATAATAATACTATAAATCGCCACATTAATTAGATGAAAAATATTATAGATAATGGATAAAAATAATAATAATTGATTACTTTTATAAATCGAACAAAATTATTTTAATACATTAATGGTATATAAAACTTGAGGTAAAGTTGGTACACATAGATTTTAACAATTTATAACACATAAAAATAGAATTGCTACACATTAGCATCATAAATTGTTGTATTCATAAAATAATTATAATTTAAATTGATTGATTAATAAAATAGTAATTAAAAATAAAATAAAATGTAGAATATGAATATAAAATAAAATAATACCAACATATAAAATTATTTAATACAATGAAATAATGATGTAACAAAAATCATAAAAAATATAGAACACAAATTATGAAATTAAATAAAAGGTGAGACTAAATATATTATGAAAATTTATAGATTACATAAATCAAACTTAATCATATATTATTATTATTATTATTGTTATTATGATTATTATTATTTAATCGATGAATAAAATTAAAACAACTAAATTAAAAAAAAAGAGGTAAAATCCTTTTTTATTAAATTAAATCAGGATACCCTAAAAAAAAAAAGAGAACGTATAATTGAAAAAAAAAAAGAGATCACAAATCTGTCAGATAAAGTAACTTAGATCAAATCCAATCCAAAAGCAAAATGTTACAAGAGTAGCAATCAGTGTATTATATCCAATAAAAGAAAAAAAAAAGCACGAAACAATATACAGCAATAGTCAAAATCTGAATTTAATTCCTATCCATATGATGAAAGCTTTGTCTATGACAATAG